CAGCTGCACTGACGAGGAGAGCTGGCTGGCCAGGCCTCCCTGTCCTCGTGGAACATCATATTTAATGAGTTGGATTGATTTTTATTAAATTTTGATTACCTTCAATCCATGGAGATTTGCAAACATCATTTGGCAAAGTTGCAGTAATAATTAACAAACAGGAACCACTTAAAAATTCATTATGCTTTTTACTTTTGCCATCAGTCATTAAAATAATCAAATTATTTTGTATTGAAGAAATAAAAGGCATTGCGTGATTTTGTATGATTCTTGCACAGTGCAAAAGATGTTCAGGTTATTTGGACTTTGCACAGGAACCAGAAGTGCTCTAGGTTTCCTTTCATTACTGACATCGTTTCCTGTTCTGCAGACTCAGAATACTGGGGCTGATATTTAAATGGAGCATTAACAAGCGAATCCGAACTTGGTTGTCTCTTTGCTCTGCGAGTTCATTTTAAATATTTTATTTATGAATTCTTAAGTTCATAAGTATCGAGACACTACACTTAATACTTACACAAGAATCGCAGTGCAGAAATGCAAGAAAAGCAACAACTATTTAGAGTAAGTGGCACCGTGACTTCAGTATCGTGATGCGCCAGGATGTGAATGGCAGGCTGAGCTTTGTGATGAATGAGCACACGAGGGGCCAGGTTATCAGAGGTCCTTGCAACAGCCTATGACAGTTGGCCTGAATGAGTGAGCTTAATTTAGAATTTTAATTATTTATTTTACTGTTTGCTACGGTAATCATTTTGCTACTTGCCAATCAAAACAGAGACCTTTCGATACGGTCACAATCACTGCTGTATACTAGTGAATTCTGGCTGGATAAATTGCGAGGTAAAAAGGAAAAAAATCTGTGAAGCCAAAGGTCCTTCCTGGTTTTGGAGAGACTCTGGGAGGGGAAAGGGAGTGGCTCTGCCATCAGCCAGCCGGAGGAAAGCAGGGAGCAATTTCCCGCAGACTGGAAAGCGGCTGAAGTAGGGGCTCTGGAGGAGAGGGGACCCATACACTGCTTTGTGTCAGGGGCTTGTAGGGGAGGCAAGACCTCAGAGACATGGCTGGGAGGCCGGGGCCAGGCACTGGGGCTCCCAGGCCTCCAGCTAGGAGAGAGCAGAGGGTCAGAGGTGAAAGGACCAGGACCAGGACCATTCCAGCTGGGATGTCTCATTAGGAACCAGTGTAGACAATGACCAGTAGCAGAAGGAGGAACTGCCCAGAGCTTTGGTGTTATGTAGGCCTCAGGAGCTTTGCCCAACCTCGTGGGGAGCCCAGTGAAGGGCTGATACTGAATTTCCTGCTATCCAAGCAAGAAGGGGCGTAAAGGTAGATTTTAAAGACAATGAAGAGGTGATTTTTCCAGCTCTTGGGAATCTGCAGTTCATACCTAGCTTCTCTCCACATGTGAATGTNAAGTTATTTTAAAGACAATGAAGAGGTGATTTTTCCAGCTCTTGGGAATCTGCAGTTCATACCTAGCTTCTCTCCACATGTGAATGTGTGCCAGGCAAGTTAAGTAAGCACTGTCCTAACCTAGACAATGCCAAGTGGGATGTAGGAGGGCAGACAGAGCAACAGACATTGCTCACTAACGAATAAAGTCTTTGTGCTCAGTATCGTGTATCGATGGCAGACATTCAACTTAAATAGATATGTTAACTAAATTATATGCAAGAAAAAGGTTAAGATGTCCGGGGGGGGGCAGGTGATGGGAAAAATGTTTAGATTATGATTTGAACAAACGAGGGGTAAAAAGCAATTTTGGGAAACCAGGAAGCACTTACGGCAAAACGTTAACAGTTGTTGAATCTGGGTGATACGTAGACAAATGCTCACTATACTGTTTTCTACACCTTTTAAAAAAAACTTGCAACTAGGTAGAGGTGGCCAAGTATCAGAGTTCTGGTCAATGAGATGTGCCAAGAATCACAGTTCTGGCCAACGAGATGTAGGAGATCCCTGGGGAGGTCTTCCTTTACTCTCCCCCCAAGACGTGCCTTCATGAGCTGAATCCTTCGGGCTCTTTTTTTTTTCTTCCCACCTGCAACATGGACATGATGCCTGGAGGTGTGGCAGCCTCATTGTGACCAAGAGAACCAAATCCACAGGCTAAGGATGGCAGGTCAGGAAGGGAAACGCAGGTGGGGACAGTGATGGTGCCGTGGAGCTGCTACGCCAGCCCTGAGCTGGTTGTGCTGGTTTCCCCACACGTCAGGAAAAGAACCGCTCTGCTAAACCATGGCACAGGTTAAGAATTGTGCTCACCTCTAAGGAACTGAATTCCTTACTTTGGTGGCTTTATACCGGAACAGAGACATAGTCAAGTAAGGGAGGAAGTGATAGGAGTACACGCAGAGCAGGGCTGGGCGCGCAGGCTCGCCGCCTCGGCAGTTGCCCGGGGCCCTGCACGCAGAAGGGCCTCGCGCTTGGCCCAATGCTCTGCTGTTGCCATCTTGAAATTCTTAAGTGCTTTTTAACAAAAGAAGCCCTGCATTTTCATTTTGCAGCTAAGTCTGTAGCCAGTCTTGACCCCATCCAGCTCATTCAGTGCAGGAGACGGCGCTCTGCGGTCCACTCCGCGCCGCGAGCGGCCGCAGTCTCCGCCCGCCCCTGCCAGTCGTTTCTCAGGACGCCCTCCGTGCTGTCTGGGTTCCCGGACTTACCTGAACCCAGGCTCTGTCTGGAGCGATCGCAGCCTCGTTCACTGCCCTAGAGAAATCCCTCATAAAGGACGCGTGGTGCGTTTCCAAGATGCTGGGCCCCTGGGGCAAAGTGTGTGCCCAGTGCCAGGTTCCGTGCTCGGTCCTTTATTCATGTTCTCATCTAACCCCTTAGAGTGCACTGGCGGTGCTCGTATCCCAGTTTTTCAGATAAAGAAACCGAGGTTTAAGGAGGTTAAGAAACTTGCAGCTACAAGGGGTCTGACTCCAAAAGCCAGGCGAGCACCGGTAGCGCAGAGCCCCTGCCGCGGCTGCCCGGTCAGCCCAGGAGCGCGCGCAACCTCTGGTCCCGGTCCCAAGGTCAGATGGCGGGACGGGGCAGGGGGCAGGGCGGCGGCGGGGACGGAGGGTCGCGCAGGGGCCGGGGGCGCGGCAGACGCATTCGGCAGCACCAAGAGCGTTACGGTTTGGGAAAACCCACCCGAGCCATCCTGGGGTCCCAAGGCGTGTCCCGTATCCCCAACTTGCACAAGACCAGCGCCCTCCGCCTCCACATCTCCCGCAGGCGAAACTGCGGGAACTGGGACGGCTGACGCCTCTAGGCGCGAGGCACACACCATACCCTTCCGCAGCCTCCCACCTCTCCAGTCGCACGTGTTTAAAAAGTCCCTGGTCCTCCCCAGCCCACCCCACCCAAGCGTGGCCTCCTTGCGCCGCTGCCCTCAAGTTTCCTCCGAGAGGCGAGTGCGCACAACTGCCGCGGCGGCGAAGGCGCCCCGCCGCCCACCTTCTCCAGCCCCC